ATGACCAGGGTTTGCTTACATTTAACAACAACTTCCTCTGTGTTCTGATCTGTTCAAGAGATCGCTCACTTCCGATGGTCGCAAGTTCGATTCCTCGCCTGGTACATACATACATTTATTCGTGCGTATAATGTCTTTTCATAATATTGTGTCATCATCATCATCATCGCAGCCCGGAAGACGTCCACTGCTGGACATAGGCCTCCCCCAAAGATCTCCACGACGATCGGTCCTGCGCTGCTCGCATCCAATGCCTTCCAGCGATCTTGACCAGATCGTCGGTCCACCTTGCTGGAGGCCTTCCCACGCTGCGTCTTCCGGTCCGTGGTCGACACTCGAGGACTTTACTGCCCCAACGCCCATCTGTCCTACGAGCTATGTGCCCTGCCTAATATTGTGTATGTATTAAAAAATATGTATCTATGTATTAATATCAGCACAAGCTCTGCTATTGCTATTGGTATATATCTGCTATATATGAAATTCTCATTCTAATTAAGAACTAATATCAATAAAATATATTAAATGAAATTGTTTCTTATTTACATACAAACAAAGTTGGATTTGTAACAAGTTTTAATGATAAACTTTGTAATAAATTACACATATCACAGTGCATCTCCAAATACCAATATATCGTTCTTAAGAAACATGGAGGCGGACTTTTTAAATTTATGTAAAAATTAAGAAAGTAAACGTTTGGAAATTGGTTATGAAATCTCTCTTTGGTTACGAAACGGTTATAATACATATATTAATCAATATTAACCATTTCGGGTACATATGGCATAGAAGTATTGCATATTTTCAAGGTTGTTATAAGGTTATTAAAAAGCGAAAGTTCTAGAAGAAATCAACATGTGTTTATCCGTTTATCCCTTACGTAGGCAGAGAAAGCCAAATATCTTACATATATTATACTAACTTTTGACCTCGGCTTCGTTCGTGTTAATTTATCCCCTTAGGGGTGGAATTTATCAAAATTCTTTCTTAGGGGATCCCTACGTCATAGTAGCTTTATGCATGCAAAGTCTCAGCCCGATCGGTTTAAAATTGACAAAGTTTCATACAAACTTTCATCCTCTATTTTATCCCCTTGGGGGTAGAATTAATCAAAATCCTTTCTTAGCGGATGCCTACGACAACATCTACCTGCATGCCAAATTTCAGCCCGATCTGTCCAGTGGTTTAGGCTGTGCGTTGATAGATCTCTATGTCAGTCACCTTTGAGTTATATATATTTAGATATTATGACGGCCTTGGCAGTCTAGCGGTGTAGCACACCGCTTTACTTCCGAAGGTCGCGGGTTCGATTCCTCGCACGGCACAAACATTTGTATTCATGAATATGATTGTTTGTATCGGTCTGGGTGTTTTCTATGTATATTATGTATGCATTTACAAAAAAAAGTATGTACATATTTGTATCAGTCATCTGGTACCCATAACACAAGCTCTGCTTATCTTGGGACTAGATGGCACTGTGTTAATTGTCTCGAAAAATTAAATATTAAAGTGATGAAAATGTGTAAAATTACTAATGATGTGCAGACTTATGTGAGAACAACGATTATTTATAAATTCATACTATTACTGTTGTAAACAAAACGTTGGAAGAGACGAAAAAGTTAAACAAGAAAAAAAGATAACAAATATTTTTTTTATTCCAAAACACATTTCATTAGTCATTTGTTAGAAATCGAGAGACTGATCATATTTTAATGAGTCACAGTTTAAAGATAGAATGTCAGTTTCACAACAGTTTCAAAACAGCAAATTTGATTTTTCTTAAAGCAACTCAACTTGAATCAACATTAGTAACGACAAAACTGTACAAGTATATCAGCCATCTGATATGAACTCTACTCTCCCAGATTTGAATTTAAAAATAAATCAGTATTATTGTAAACATATATGTACAACATTTATTTGAAAAGAATACGAGCTGAGTTTCTTGTCAGTTCTACTCATCTCGAAATCGTTCCGAACTTACGGTAGATTTGACATACCATAAGTCTGTAATAACATATTATATTCATAATAAAAAAAAGTTTCTTCATATTTTTTATCATATAAAAAAATCGTATCATTACCCAAATTGAATTGTCTCAGCGCGGTGAAAGTCGAGAAAGCAACTGCTTTACTAATCTCATGAACTTTGACCATAAATCTACATTAAATTGTCTCAAATGACCATTTACTCAAAATTTGTACAACTGCACCATTATATGGTAATAAGACATAACTGTTATTGCCTGATAAAATAAGGATATTACTCAATGTGCTAAGATATGCCTCTTTACAGTAATATAACGTAATCCACAAATACTTACTATAGTTAGAATAAAACGTGTTATAGGTTTTCCGTGACAAAAGATAATATTCTCAAAAAGAAACGCGTAAAAGTACAACACGTAAAAAAGCTATTGCAAACAATAATAGAAAATCTAATTTATTTTTAGTCAGCTATTATTAAAATGCAAATATTTTAGGATGTAAGTAATCTAATTCAAAAGTAAACACAGAATAATATAATTATATAGACAATTGTAGTAAACATATCTTAGGATGATCTTTAGTAGAAATAAAATTAGAAACTATTATCATTCAAAGAAGGTGAATTCAAAATGCTGATATAAAAAGAGTATATTCATGCTCTTTTTGAGGATGTCACTAATGTCTTAATACGTATATGAATCAGATCAAAAACAGCGATAAATTTATTGTAATATAATTCTTCGTTATTTTACAGAAGATGACAACCAATAACATTATAGAGAGGCTTCGAAACTATCCCAAATAATTATAATACGATTAGGAATTAAAAGCAATAAATTTATCGTGGTCTGAAAGTTAACACTACTGAAATTCATATCATAAGAGGTTTTAATTACATACTTAAGATAGAAGCTAAAACTATACTACTATAATTATATATGTATAATAGAATAGAAAAAAAAATTTGTTCAATTGTTAGAATTCACATCATTATCGTAGAAAAATCCTATATTTTAAAAATATATTAAACGAAGGTAGTTTGTTTTTAGTACTAATGAAATACCCAATGTAAGGATTATTACGAATATTGTAAATAGCGCCATCTAGTATTTATAGACCAACCTACTACACTGACTTTGGTCTATAAATACGGAGGTCGGTAGTTGAATAATCCTCTTTCCTTGCGTGAGCCGCGGCATTCAGTCGACGAGCGCAGAGCGTGCCGGTTGTGTTTTGGATATTAAAGTGAATTGTATTACCAATGGGTTTATCCCGGTCTTAGTTGGGCCTGGGGGGAAGCTGCAAGTAGTGAAGGTGAGTGTTAATGCATTCTAAAAGGGCCTTTTAAACCTACACCCGTGTCACAAGTCACGGGCGCTACTTGGGGTTTCCCTTGCGGTAGCCGGCTTCAAAACCTCAGTCGTCCATCATAATTAGTGCTTCTTACACAAATAAAGCACTTTTGAATAGTCATAATATCTGTTTCATCACAAGGCAATGTAATAGTGTTCGGTTGAATTTTATTCAGATAAATCTTTAATCAGAAATAAACTCTATTGTCTCGTAATAATGATAGTAATTGGTTTAAAAGGAATACCAAAATAATTGTAATATATCATTCTACAGCTTGTTTACAAGAGATCAACGTGACTTATGTCGACAGACAAACAAAGAGAAGACGACTCGAAGATAACAGTGATGTGATGGCTGATAGTATTAGGCGGGTTTTTAGAAATTTAGGATAAATAAATGCATGGCCGTGAGCTCATGAAAGTGAGATGGTCACATAAATTTAGAACAATAGTATTTAAACAATGGCAAGTTTAGTTTAATGTCAAAGTAATTCAAACTTTCACAGTTGCTTTATTTGATAATGAAAATATTAATCAAAATAATTGTGTGAATGAGCACTTAGAAGTAATGGCTGTTATTAGTTATGCGAGATGTGGAGTTAAATTTGAAGTAGCGGTACATATTGTAAAACCACTATATCTGTACATCTATACATATAAATAAAATTGGAGTGTCTGTTTGTAATATTGAAATAACTGTTTATTTACTACATGCATATGAATGTATATACACCAAAATATGTTTCTTTTTAATTTTTGTCTGTCTGTCTGTTTGTTCCGGCTAATCTCTGAAATGGGTGGACCAATTTTGACGGGACTTTTTTGGTAGGTATCTGATGTAATAAGCACTAACTATACTAGCGGTACCCGCGAGTTCGACTTCGTTCGAATTTAACTTTGTTTTTCTAAAATAAAAGTAGCCTACACTTTTATATTAGAAAAATAAAGTTAAATTCCAGCTGCGAACTATGTCAAAGAAAAAGGCAATAATTGAAATTTATAAAATAATATAGTACATAAAAAAAACAGTTTTAAAAATACATAAATTTAAAAATATCAAAAGAGTTTGCAGCCATTATCTAGACCAACACTAAGTAATGCTTAATACGTAATATTTTACACAGATGTACGTAATATTAAAAAAAAATCAAATACATTAATATAACAGTTATATAGAACGGACGTCGAACCCGAGATCAGAGATACGTGACGCAGCCTCTTAAACCGCTACACTCCAAGGTCGTGATATATACCCCCTCCGATCGATCCCCCGTCCAATTCGAACGGGGATCGATATTAACCTGACCTGAGTCGAGGTTCGAACCCCTAGCGGTGCCCTCAGACTAAAGTCGTATCCGTCAGGCTGGAGTTGGCCTTCAGCCGGGTGTGGAGTGCCATCTGCGCCCGCCCCCTATCGTCCGGTGAAGCTATAAAGGCCAGCTGCAGCCAACAGCATTAGAGTAGTCCGAAAAAAAGGTGATATACATGTATATGTATATATATATGTATACTTTCTACAAAGTTTATATAATGCTGAAGTAGTTAATACAACTGAAGACCAAAAGAAACCCTATATACGTTCCACAGAATAAAAGAAAAGAGGTCGTGATACGATAGATAAAACATGCAATTATAAAATAAAACACTCACATATCGTATCTCTCGCAAGTGTGGCCACGAGCAGGAACGTAATAAATCTTGATGCGTATATTGACATGTTTATTATTTTGTTGCGAATTAATTCACTAAAATGTATACACTTGGCATTTCCATCACTAGCACTCGTACACTGCTTGTATTATTTTGTTTTCGTCTGCATTTTGGTGTGTTACGACCTGTAAATAAAAGAAAACAGATTAAATTTGACTTAATTATTGTAAGGACTGAAAATGTATTTATTTATGTATAAAAAAAGATCTTAAATCTATAAATGTAAAAAAAAATTGGAGTGTCTGTTTGTAATATTTAAATTACCGTTTTTTACTACATGCGTATGTATATAAATACGGTAGATATACCAAAATAACATTTTTTACAATTTTTATCTGTCTGTCTGTCTGGTTGTTCCGGCTAATCTCTGAAATGGTTGGACCGATTTTGACGGGACTTTTATTGGCAGGTAGCTGATGTAATAAGGAGTAACTTAGGCTACTTTTATCTTAGAAAAAATGAATAAATGATTTTTGAATTTGAATTAATACAACAGTTAAATTCTAACTAAACTTGTTTAATAGACATTAGTACAGTTTTTAACGAATACAAAATAGAGATACGGATCTGCACGTAAATCTTTTTCGTCCAGTTACCATTCTATTACCATTGCGTTTGTTCTGTCAATCCAAGGTCCGGTACAATTTCTCAATACTTCCGATCATATCTAGTATTGCGAAAACATTTTTCTGTATATTACGAAATAATTATAATGCATTCATACTACTAAAGTATTTTTATGCAAGTATTATCGTTTCATTCATGTTTTAAACTAGCTTTTGCCCGCGGCTTCGCTCGCATTAATTTATCCCCTTAAAGGTTGAATTTATCAAAATCCTTTCTTAGGGGATGTCTACATCAGAGTAGCTTTTTGCATGCAAAGTATCAGCCCGATCGGTTTAAAATTGACAAAGTTTCATACAAACTTTCATCCCCAATTTTATCCCCTTGGGGGTAGAATTAATCAAAATCCTTTCTTAGCGGATGCCTACGTCATAACATCTACCTGCATGCCAAATTTCAGCCCGATCCGTCCAGTGGTTTGGGCTGTGCGTTGATAGATCACTATGTCAGTCACCTTTGAGTTTATTTAACTTTATTTAGATTTTGAAAATCCACTGCCCAAATAAATCTTTTTTAATTAACGACTGTAATTAAGTAATTATTTCTTTACTTTAAATATAGTATAAATGTTTTATTTTATTTATACTTTTTATAAAGACTCTTTATTTCTCAGAAAATATAATTTAGTAATATATTTAATAATATATTTTAGTCATCATATTATATTTTTTTTAAGCTTTTTAATTTTAGGTTCTTAGTTGTACAATTAGGTTATGTAAATACTAGTAATAAATTCAAATAGCTTAGTCAAGTAAATCAATAAAATTAAATAAAAATACCTTATTCGTGTAGGTCTAATAATATATTTTAATTAAAATAGTAAATATATGTACATTAATTGATATAAAACACTCATAAGAGTGTAGGCCACGCACCCTTATATAAGCTATAAAGCTTATATAAGGGTGCGTGGCCTACGTAAATCTACATAGTATAATATAAAGTCGCTGCAGCTGTCGTTACGTCCCTATGTATGCTTAAATCTTTAAAACTACGCAACGGATTTTGAAGCGTTTTTTAATAGATACAGTGATTCGAGAGGAAGGTTTATATGTATAATACATGTACACCCGTGCGACGCCGGGGCGAGTAGCTAGTTTTATAGACTACGTAAGATGCTTATTCCTTATCACATTTATTTGTGGTCGGCGTAATATAATATTCTCTTCCATTCTTCCCTATTCACAGTCATTTTGTTAATCACTCCCTTTCTTACTATATCATCTTTCACAAGGTCCATTTTAAATTTAAGTTAATACTATATTTTATTATATTCTAAACTCATTAATCCGTTTAGACTACATACAAGTATAGCTCCTATTTGATAGTCCACTTAAAACAATATTGCGGATATTCACGTTGTTTTTGGAAATTTCAAATTCCAACCCACGGATACGTTATATCTTCTTTTTAGAGATAAAAGTGAAATTATGATTACGTAAACGGATATCTTAATTCTGAACTTGGAATTGAACTTACGACCTCGGATGTTAACAAAATCGTGTGTAATCATGCCGTCATAACAGATAATCTCAGATTTTTATAATCATTAATATATCATCATAATAAACTGTTTTATTATTGGGTGTGTATGGACACACATTAAATATATAGTTACAAGTATAAATATATAATTTATACTTGTAATTTATATATTAATAGCAACACCATGGTTTCTTGCTCGTTCTCCTTGTGATGAATCTGCGTTTCGTATGAGCCGCAGAATCAAAATATGACTATTCAAAAGTGCTTGTAATGAGTTTATTTGAACAAAGATTATTTGTATTTCTAATTATAATTGTTACAATAATAATTCTTATTATGTAAAACGAGTTAATAAAATTAATAATTATCAATTAATGATAACTACAGATTCAATAACAAAAGTGATGTGAATTCACAACCATAGGTAACCATACATGCCGCAACAATCGATATTCTCAAAGCAAGATAATTACCTCCCAATGAACCGTATCAAAGCGAGTAACGGGATGCTGCGCCGTTAGGGAACGCGATGTACAGACGGCAACGTCCCCCAGGCTAGTTATTGTAGTGATTCTTATAATTTTGTGCGCTTGGGAACGACCCATTGAATGAAAGTGTGGTGTACTGTATTTAAATATTAATTTAAACACCTCGGTGGTCTAGCGGTTCAGCACACCGCTTTACGTCCGATGGTCGCGGGTTCGATTCCTCTGCACAGACATTCGTATTCATGAGTATGACTGTTTGCATCGGTCTGGGTGTTTTCTATGTATATAAATAATTTAAAAACATCTATGATTTCTAGTACCTATAACACAAGCTCTGCTTGGCTTGGAACTAGATGGCGCTGTGTGAATTGTCAAAAATGTTACATCTGAAGCAGTGTTAAATAGACAGACAGATAATTGGTTAATAACTCCAGATATAAATAAATTCACATTGCAATAAACAAAAAGACATGCAAATTACACAACGCGAGCAATAATTACCTGGTCTAAGGCGTATGTTTGCATTTGCAGTTCGTGTTGCATTATACATGTAATATCTACCCAGATTACCAGACGTTCTGTAATATGTAGCGGAAATGATTACCAGACTCTCTTACTTCTAAAAGACCAACTTGTAAAGCAACGGTCATGTTGAGAACAATAGATTCGTGATTCTTGATTTAATTTAGTTTTAACATAACGAAATGTCTATACAATTACAGTATGTTACGAAAACTGTATTAATTAATGTAACTGTATTGAGAGTATATGCTTTTTTTCTATATTATAGTGAATGATATCAGCTGCTTCATTTTTGATTCGTTTTCAATGATGTTATATAATTTTATATTGTATAGGATGTGTAATCTAAACATTCTATACATAAAAAATTATATGTATTATGTAGGATGTGTGTCCTACACGTCTTATACATATAAAATTATATGTATTATATAGGATGTGTGTCTTATACGTCCTATACATAAAAGATTATATGTATTATATAGGATATGTGTTCTAAACATCCTATACATACAAAATTATATGTATTATATAGGATGTGTGTCCTACACATCCTATACATACAAAATTATATGTATTATATAGGATGTGTGTCCTAAACATCCTACACATAGAAAATTATATGTATTACATAGGATGTGTGTCCTAAACATCCTATACATACAAAATTATATTACATCATTCTCATCATTATTATTAATATCAAGTATTGTTGCGCATTTTACTAAGTACTATATATCAATCCAACGTAATAAGGAGAAATCTAACACTCTATTTATTTATACTGTCTACTAAATACAATATATATAAAATAGTTGAAATAATAAATGTACATTGACTGTTTCAAAAGGCGGTCTTATCGCTAAACAATCTTTTCCAGACTACCTTTAGGTGCATAGAGAAAGTAAAGATAAGAAAATCTATCACTATTTTATTTATTTACTAGCTGTTCCCGCGACTTCGTCCATGTGGAATTTAACTTTATTTTTCTATAATAAAAGTAGCCTAAGTTATTCTTCATTACATCACCTACCTGTTAATAAAAGTCCCGTCAAAATCAATCTAGCCATTTCAGAGATTAGCCGGAACAAATAGACAGACAGACAAAAATTGTAAAAATAATTATTTGCTGTATGTACCGTATTTGTATTCATATGAATGTAGTAAAAAACGGTTATTTCAATATTACAAATAGACACCCCAATTTAATTTATATGTATAGATATATATATACGGTATATATACCAAAATAATATTTTTTGTAATTTTTGTCTGTCTGTCTGTCGGTCTGTTTATTCCGGCTAATCTCTGGCTGGACCGATGACTTTTTTTGACAGGTAGCTAATGTAATAAGGAGTAACTTAGGCTTCTTTTATTTTAGAAAAATAAAGTTAAAGTCCACACGGACGAAGTCGCCGGAACAGTTAGTAATTTATAAAAAGTATATATATAAATTTTGTATAATAACATAATGATGCCTTGCTTAATACACAAACACACATGCGCTTTAATTATCATTAAATAACGATACAATTTATAACAATCATTACAGTTTACGCTTTCAAAGATCACTATAGGTAATGGAGAAAGCAGCAGGTAGAAATTCACACCTATCAATTTAATTGTTGATTTTTTTTACATTGTATTAGCATCTACACAAAGTATTGTATTCAATTAAATTATGCTATAGTTACTGCATTTAGATATACATACATATACACACGTATCATATGACTATACGCACAAACGGCGTTTCAAAGGAGCGGTAGAATAAAAAATATGACTATTCAAAGGTGCTCATAATATCTTTTCAAATAAAGATTATTTCTATTTCTAAACAATTATACTTATGAATAAAAATATTTGTGCCGTGTGAGGAATCTAACCCGCGACCATCGGAAGTGAGGCGGTGTACGAAACCGCTAGACCACCGGGGTTTTCAT